GTTGCTCAATGAAAGGCCAATGTATTGTCGACTCGAAACTTCACTTTCCAACTCTGCTCTTCTGCTGTGCACTGAAAAAGGAGGGAAATACGAAGTGAAGCACGGTAGCAAGCTCGCCCTCCAACATTGAAATCCGACGACGGACACTGTCGTCCAAATCAAACAAGAAAAGCTGCGCTGCCACCTCCTGGATGTAATATTCTAGCGTCTTCAAGCGGCTCCAGCGGCCACGCCACTGGATTGCAGGAATTCCTTCATTCTCAATGTATGAATGGGTGGCTCCGCTGCCTCGAAGCACTCCAGGCGTCACGCCGCGCTCAGTCTGTCGCCTGGGAATTCCCAGGTGATCGAACAAGGCATTCCACTGCCTTCTGAAGACGGCGGGACTGGCTGGAAACAAGCGAGCATCAAGCGCCCAATCAAAATAAAGACAACGAAGGAACATGAGTAAAGAGGCATCATCCAACTTCACATGCTGTCTCCTGGCGAACCTCGCTGTTTTGGGGTTCTTTATGTAAATGAAAAGCACCTCCTGTTGCAGCATGGCATCCTCAGGGAAGACAAGGTCTCTGCGAGACAGGTTCAAGTACTCATTCGGATGCAACATGCCTCCGAATCCTAGCACAAGCATTCCTGCGAAGCAATGCCAACCCCACAACAAAGATACCACCAATGCTGCACGGAACAGAGGTGCAGGCAACACTGCTCTGCACTGCCCCGGCTCCTCCAACTGCCACTTGGCATCAACCTGCCAGGCTCCTGCAAGTTGTCGCCGGAACTCCGGCCTGAGTTGTTGCAACGCTGTAATGGCGTAAACAAGAAGGTACCGGGGCTTTCCCAACCGGAAAAGCTCAAGGCCGTAGCCACGAAGTGCAAGATTGGCCGTCTCGGCAGAACCCAAAATATCTTCAAAAGGTAGTCCAACGACATTGGTACACCAGTTTTGAAATGCTTCAAGACACGTCTTCATGCGCGCGGAGGTCGCAGTTGAAAACCCGCCAAGCAAATTAAGTTCACCGCGCGGCACATATTCACCTCTACCAACGGGTCCAGGATGGGGTTCAATGTCGCCAGCTAGCAGCAGTAGCAACCTAATCCAACGACCTACCGGCCTTGACCACTTTGCCAACTCAACTTCTGTATCAAACAAGGCAGTGTTTCCCTTCTGAAGTTCCTCCAACCACCTCGGGACTGGTCTGGTGGGACCCGGAGCTGCTTTGTCTCGAGACGGACCGTCTGCTCGGTTCCACTCAGACCTGCAGTGAATTGTACCAGGGTATAGACAACCCCCCAAAATGTACCCAAGAGAGGTCTTCAGAACTCTACTCAATGCATATGATGAGCTCCTGCCCTTAGCCGAAGCTCCCATCGTCACTCGACTGTCCAACAACCCAACCACGCGAGAACGCGGATGCTGCTTTGAACAATGTTTCAACCAAGTCTTGTACACTCTGCACTCTAAGCAGTTTATATGGCCTCCACGGCGAAAGCGGAAGCGAAACAACTCACGAAAACTCAAGCTCTCGCAGATGTCCTCAACCCAAGCCGGGTCTTCGAACCAATCACGGGTGACCCGATCGCAGTCCTCAACGCGCTGATCAACAGCGCTCCACGGCTTGGTCATCGATGGGGATCTCAGCCAACCTTTGGCGCCTGCGGCCATAGCCTTGCAGAGGCCGATCGGATACGAGGCTGAGTACTTGCTCACGGCTTCTCCGACACGAGGTTCTCGTCCGTATACAGTCAAGCTAGACGGATTACATCTAGAGTTGAACAAGCGTACCGTCTGCCTCGTGAAGGTTCCCTGAACTGTGAAGTGTTTTCCCTTGAAACGACATGTACATCTACCGGCCAGAGAACTGTACCAGGGCTTGTTGTGCAACCATTTTGAGGGTTTCATGAACGCACTGCCAAAGCTGCAAAAGCAGAACTTTGTAATCTGACACCCCAACTGAAGCAGACCCCGAAATGCGTGCAGCTCAAACATCACCGACCCACCAGGCTGTTCGCAAGATATGTAACTACCAGCCAACAGGGCTAAAGTCAAGAGAATTAAAGCTGTCCGCAGTGCTAAAGAGGTTTGCTCGGCCGTTCGAGGGTCACGAGGGTCAAAACCGGCTGGCCGCAACTTAGACCGGAGACGGGGCCTCCGCAGGGTCCCGAAGGACCAGCACGGTGGTCCCGCATGCCAGTCCCTGACAGATCTCATGTAGGCCAGTTTGGCTAGAACTCTAAAAGTGTCATTGTCCGACAGGTCCCCGTATGCAAGTCCTGTAGCGTCTCGCTCAATGCCAGGGTGCACACGAAGGCCGACTGCTTCATGCTGTCGTGACCAATTGCCCTGACCGGAAAACAACTCAATGCAATCAAAGGCAACTGTCGTGTCCCTTAAGGGTGCATCAATGCTCTTGCCAAACTCTGCCAACTGTAGGGGTTCCGACTCCAAGGGGCTAAACCTGAGTTTGTCTGAAGCATCTGAAGGCCCTCCGAACATCTCGGTATGGTCCAACCCAAGCTCATGTAAAGCCAAGTTCGCACCCTGTTGAAGCTTTGTATAGTAGCCCCGCTGTTCGGTGTGCCTCCAAAGCTCCTCCATGCCCGCAGCAGAGAACCGAGCTCGACAGATGCCGCCGCCATAGGGGCTGGCGTCCATCATGAACAATTCAGTCGCGAAGCTGGTTCTCATGTCGGTCTGGATGATCGGTGCCAAGATGCACAACATGAGAAGTTCATGTGAACATTGTTGAGACATAGTGAACACGGCGTTCCGTGGCATGTGCTCTCCTTCATGATAAGCTGCATCAAGTAAAGAAAACAACGGCCTCCGAAAAAGAATGACGTGTGTCCAACAACCGATGAGCCCCTGCAAAAGTTCTCGAGTGATCAACCCTTTTGCAATAACAATGCATGTAATGAAGCTTAGTAATGCAACCCTTTCTCGAGGAGCTGAAACACGGCCGCGGTCACCATCTATCTCAGCGCCCAACACAACAGCCCGCGGTTCGCGGCGTCTCTTCTTACCGGGATGAGCCGTCAACCCGACCTGGTTGTAAGCTGCATTCGAAGCTTCAAACACCTCTGTATCCCTGTCACAGCCCGGGAAGGAGCGGCCGTCTTTTCGCAACTTTTGCAAGCCGATGTGATCATCGATCGTCAAAAGTTCATAGAACGGTCCTCGTGGCACAGGCTGCCTGTACTGCAAGCATTCTCGGGGGCGCATGGCTGCTGCAAGTTGTCTCAACAAGTTAACATGGCTCTGCTGGGCGATCTCTACCGCCAACGCGTCCCCCATGGCCAGTGTGGCCAGGCAAATGTATACTTGCTGGTCGTGCCACTCCGGTCTGTAGCATTGCAAATGCTCGAGCTCCCTGCCCCAAAACTTTACACCAATGGCATTGCGCTTTGCACGTTTCTGACTAACAGTGAAAGTGTAATAAAATTCACACAGGTCGTCTGAAGAAACAACGAGTCTCTCGTGATCATCCAACCGAACCAATGCCATCAAATACCCAGGTGCTATTGTTTTTGTATAGGCAGAGTACGGGTAACAACGACTGTTGATGACCGTGGGATTAAGGATCAATCTGTCGTATTCAGCATCTTTAGGTACAGCAAAAATTCCAACAGCTTCATGGGGGTTTACTCTAGAGCAGGGCACGAGCCGGCAGGCACGTAGGGCGTCCCACTTGGAGGCAAGTCGAAGGACTTCTTCTCGACTCGCATGGACTTTCGCCCGTGCCAACTTCGGCCAATCATCAGGAGGTCGGCGCAGAACATCCGGATCGACATAGGCCCGTCGAACGATTGGATCACTCAAAAAAGGTCCCGGGTCGAAGGCCGGGGCGAGCTTCCATTTGATGCGATCAGCAACAACAGGTTTGGCAGTGGAACCAAGAGAAGTGATCCGGACAGGCTGCTCCTCCTTCCTACAAGAGTCTTCCCCGGGGTGCGAAGCGGCAGTGTATCCATGCCCTGATGCTTTACGATGCTTATGAGTGTAAGGATCGAATGAAGCTTGGATGAAATCTAAAAAACTATGGATGTCCCCAAAGCTCAAATCAATCCTTGAGGGCGAGTGCATCAAAAAAGCTTGCTTAGCTAATTGGGCCAACTTCTCACCTGATCGGCCAAGGCTCTCCAGAGGTGCGGTGGGCGCACTCAGGAAGTAGTCAACCAAATCCTCCAAGCGCTCCAGCATTTCATGTTGCTGAGAGCTCATAGGGAAGCCAGTCCGCCCACACTCCGGTGGGCTGTGGGCATGACCCAGGGTGATCCAGTTCAGGGCCACCACAACTGCTTGAAGGCACAAGGTTTTGGTCTCTAAAAACCTCAGCCGGCGGCGGCGACGTGGTGAGAGTTTGCCAGTGGCTGTCCATCTTCCCCACACCGGGGGGGGACAAGGCCAGCAGTCGGACCTGGCTGTGCGTGGTCCGTCAACGTCGCGGAGAGGTGTCAGACTTTTCCGAGCAAAGCTTTGAAATCCGCTCGGTAGGTTGGCAGTCTGAAGTACAGCTCGCATGAGCTCAGTGCATCTAATTTCACTGGGGAGTTCATGGCCAGTCACGTCGGGCTTCAGAGGCCGCCCGAAACCGAACGTCGTCTTGCCCCTCCCCGCCTTCTGGTTCATAGGCACATCAGCAGCAACATCAGGCCCCGCAGTGGAAGCGTCTGAAAGAGGAAAGCAGTCCTGCCCCCGACCGCAGGAAGCGGGAGGGATACACTCCCTCCGCTCTGTGGATGAAGAACGCAGCAAAGGGCCTGACTGCATCCTCCCAGACGATGGGGCTGATGTGTGCTTCAGTTCGCAGCCGACCCGGAGGTCGACTCCTCCTTCCCCTTCTTTTTCTTTGGTTGCCAAGGCTGCCTCTTTGGCCTGTCGGCCTCTTCTCCTTCCTCTTTGCCTCCGGTTTGGAAGTTCTTCCCCAGGGCATTGGTGGACTTGATCTTCGTGTCCAGGTAGTCGAGGTCCTTCATGTATGCCACATTTGCTGACACCCATGAAGCTCTGGCCAATCGGCTGAAGGGGCTGATCGAAGCCTTTTGCCTGTTCCTTTGGCAAATGCTGTACTGCGGTTCCGGTAGTGCAGTGAGCAACCAGGCCAAGGTCGAACGGCCGTAGTCTACCGCACTTTGATCTACGTACAGCATGCCCTTGGCTGCAAAGCCCATGAGCTCCGGGTTGTTGGTCTTGAAGCCCTGCTCCCAGCCCGCTGCAAACAGATATCCAATCTGGGTCAGGATCTTGTTGTCTCCCAACGGGCACCGTCGTTCGAGGTAATCCCTCATGAGCCCCGAACCCACCTGATGTGGATCCAAACCCAACTCCTCCGCAGCATTGGACTGAATGACCGGGGCGATCTTGGTCAAATCTGCAGCTAACTTCACGTAGGCCTCCCGGGCCAAACAGCCCTTGATCCCTGAGGCGCCCCCGCTTGTCTCGGAGCCACCTAAGACTGAAGAAAGCGGATCGGACCCCTTCGGCTGAGCTTGTTGCGTCAACAGCGCCAGCTGCTTCATCTGCAGCAGCATCATCTTCTGCATTGGATCGGTGAGAGCTGACTCGAGCTCTTGCAGACCTTCGCCCAGCTCGTTGGTTTCCACAGCTCCCAAGGTCTCCTCCTGCTGCAGTGTTTCGAGGATCTGAACAGGCCGCTTCTCTCCGAGGCGCATAGGGGCCGCGCCTGCTAGCTTCTTCAACGTCTCCAAGGCCACATCCTTTTGAGAGGAGGCATTGAACAGTACCCCAGGAGGCAGATCCGCTGCAGAAGCTCGGCGGCGCTCGGGGGTGACAGCCGCTGGAGTGGTGCTCTGAGGCAAATGCTTGACCAAATCTTGCAGATCGGCCACTTGCTGAATCGAGCTCGCCCCCATCGCCCGCTGGTGCCAGGAGCTCTGGCTCCTGACTGTCTTCGTGACCCGTCGCATAGTCGGCCGCTGTGTCCTCGTCCATCGCGGAGCAGACCCAATGTTCGGCTGCAGCAGCGAGGCTTGTGGACTTGGGACGGCAGACCACGTCGTTCACCGTGAACTTGATGAGGTCGACCAGCGATGCAGTCCGTAGGTTGTTTGCTCGCATGAACAAATGAGCCAGGGGCCAAATCACGTCCACCAGCAGGAGGGAAGCCGGTCCAAGGGCTCGACCACGAGGTGTCTCCATGTCGACCTCTACGGGGTACAGCACCACGGCCGCTTCGTCGCCCTCCCCATCGACCTCGTGTTGGTGCAAAAATGCCGCAATTTCTTCTTGGTCTGGGAGTGCAACCATGAAGCCTCCTGTACGAACACGGATGAGGTAGCCTTGCGCCCGTACAGCCATGCCGTCGTCCCTGGAGTCCATGAGCATGAAGACACCGGGGAACGGCCCATCGGCGCCAGTGGCGCCCAGGAGGGCTTGCAGGCCCTCCTCTGTCAACCCAAGCGCTGAAGAGGTGCGGGCCATGTTCGGCCGGCACCCAGGCAGTAAGCCTCACCCTCCGCCCTAGATGGAAAGCCGTGGGACACGACGTCTGGATGGAAGGTAGTATAGGGGCCGCGGACAGCGGCCAAGAAGGTGGTGTAGTCCTCGGTCCACCCAGCAGCCTTGCGCGGTGCAGCTCTCAGCACGAGGTAGCACCGATTGGCTTGTGGAATGTCCGGGCTCGCTTGAAAAGCCCCCTCCTCGTGGTCCAGCTTGAAGCGCGCAATGAGGCCAGCGCGCAATGCTCGCGCCAGCCTAGCAGCGGCGGTCCAACCTGAAGTGCCAGTCCGAGCTCTGAGGCGTCCCAACAAATGCCTCACCGGGCTGAGATCCAAGGCCTCGAGTGCCTCCGGTGTTGTAGCCTCCAACAGGCTCTGACACCACTCCTCCGACCAAGCCGCAGCAGCTTGATCTACAGTGCCCCTCGCGGGGCTGGCAAGGGCACCCAGTTGGGGGACTTGTGCAGCAGAAGAAACAACTGTGAAGGAGCTCTCTGATGCCGCTTCTGAAGTGCCCCGACGGTCAGGGGTCCGACTGATGCGGATTGACAACCCTCCAAACTCAAGCGCCAGACTGTCACCGTCAGAATCAGGCTCGCGGCTCATGCACGACCCTCGCGATACCCTGCCAAGCGGCGGCGCAGGGACTGCTGATCCACAGTCACTGAGGCCGGAGCAACCACAGGCACAAAGCTCACCAGCAGGATGTGGAGCAAACGCTGGCAGGTCGAGGATGTCAGGGCCAAAGTGATGCAAGCCCCGCAGCAGCAGCCTACTCCTAGGCAGCAAAGGCCCAGTAGGGCAACCGCGGCCAAGCCCGGACCGCAAGCCGAGGTCGAGCTCGGCCACAACCAGCGCACCTCGCGAGCGAACTCCAGGGCGAGGGGCCAGTTCATCCAAGGGGCTTGACCCAGAAAGCTTGAGGCACAGCGTATCACGCTCAGTGATACAAGTGACATATACTGTATATATATATATATACATACAAGTCCAGGAACCGGTTTTACTTAAGTCCTTGGACCAGGACTTAGAGAAACCAAATATATAAGTTTCGGGGAGGTCGTTCCGGAATCCTTCCGTTGTCTGTCACAGATTTTGAGAGATTCCCTGCAATGGACTCTACCAATATTGCATGATTCACTGAGAGCTGCATTTTCTTAGCAAATAATGTATTGATCTGAGTCAAAGGAAATGAATGATCCTGTAATTTTACTTTGAGAATCTTTGAGATAGGGTAACAAAACAAAACAGTCTCACCCCCAACCTACCATGCAGCACACTCTGGCTTCGTGTCTGCCAAGCATCCAAGAGCTCCTTTCGGCCGTAGCCCGCAGCGTAATGGAGGCCGCTATTGCCTTGGAGCGGCGCACGCTTCGCCGCATCCGAATTGGTTGCCGTGCACGGTTCGGCTGGAAAAGTGATCGGCCAGGTGACAAGTTCGATGTCCAGAAACCACCACCCCTGAAAAACCGGATCCTAACACCACCTGTTGGAAGGTCCTGGTCCAGTTTTTTCCTTGTGAAAGCCTATGAAAATCATCTGACTCCCGTGGACGCTTCACTGCTCACCTTTTTCCACCTGATCGGTCCTTAGTAAGGTTTCCCCCTCACATGTCCCACTCAAGGGGCAAGTCATGGAAAAACACCTCCATCCTACCATTTAGGTCTGCCAGGTCTGCAAGGTGACCTACAGTGGTCTCCAAACAAGTCGGGGCGGAGACTCCCAAAAACTGTGGCCTGTCAAGTCGAGCAAGTTCGATCCTTTGGTGTGCCACCGGAAACTTCCGGCTGATCGGCTTGGCACATCTCTCCGGGCGGCCAGAGGCATCCACGGAGTAGGGGTTGGCGCGGCTGTCCAACCTCAAAGCTGGCGTGGATCTAGGCAAACCGCTACCATAAATTAAGTAGCCTCCTAAGAGGCTGAAGGTGCCCAAAAAACCATCTGTTGGCAGGTCCTGGTATGTTGTTTTTTCCTTCTCTGCTGACACAAGTCATGCACACATGTCAAGCAACCACGGCTTATCCATGGTAGTCAGGCTCATGCGAAGTGCGCAGCCTGCTGGCCGTCAAGCCCAGGTGAAGCGGTGACAGCACATCGCCACTTTGGGTTGGCGTGGTCACCGCAGCGTGGACTGCGCGTCGGCGATGCATTCACAAAGAGCCGGCGGATACGTTTTGGCGGGCGGGTCATTCGCCATCCTGCAGCCCTGTCATAGCTCAAATTATTGAAGACCTCTTCCGCATCCATAGCAGCAGCCTCCACTCCCTACATCCACGCAGTGAAGTGGACACCACTTGCTGAAAACCCCTCACCAACTGTTTTCAATTCCACACGTATTCACACGCACGGGGATCATAGCCCAGTGTTAACACTAAGAACGGCTCTAGACCCACATACACACAAATGGAAACTTACAACCTGTGGCCCTTCCATCCCGAATTTTGTCGACGACCGCTGGAAACTTGGCCATGAGAAAGCGGTACATGCCACCCACAGAGTCCTCCTGCATCTTCTGCTCGACACTCTCTTCTAATTGACCAAGTACCATGGAAACCAGGCGCGGGCTTCGCGTGCAGAACCTGCCCGAGCATTTGCAGGAGCCAGGCCAGATTCAAAGGTCTGTGACAAGAAACATCGCCCTTCGCGCGCATCCTTCGTGAACCCACCCACGCCATCCCGTTCACAACGCTGTCCTTTGCGCAAGGCTTTGTGAGGTCAGGCAAGCCATCCTCTGGCTTTGACTGCTTCCAAGCATGGCGCTTTGGAGCGTGCTTCTCTTGCACCATCTTCTCTCCTGAAACCTGGGACTCATCTGCACTTATCGCCTCATGGACTAGAACCACCAACAATGAGGGAAGCAGAGCCCTGGCTTGACAAGTCGATCCAACAAACACGCGCCACAAACAAGAAAGCATAACGGCAAACCAATTGAATATATATATATATATATACGCTTCGCGCCAGGAGTCTCACTTTGTCAAAGAAAGCCGGCCACAGTGCAACCGACGTTCCATCCCCTTGAGGACCATGGTGGAAAAAACAGATTGCTAGAGCGCCCCGACAATTCGCTGCTGTATTTGACCTGCGCCGCATTCAACGTCAGCGCGATTAAGCTCACCACGCACGCGTAAACGCAGGAACGAACGACGCAAGCTATAGCAGCCTGACCCAGTGCGCAGCTCAGCCGCCAGGAAGCAGGTTTATGTATCCATCCGAGTCATCAGAGCGTAAGCCGGTAACAAGTCGGACTTTGTTCTTCTTCCGTGTCATCTTTGAGCCTATACTATTGAACCCGGCATCGCAGGCCGTATCCCTGGAGCCTGGCCGATTGAAAAACAACGAGGTAGCTCTTACCTCACTGGCCCTCAATTCACTCAATCCCCAAAATTGCCAACCCGGAACGCTCTATCTAGCGGCAACTTCGAAAAATACCACAGATGCGAAAGCATTGGCAACCTCACAACATGCGCAACCTTCCTCGTAATTGGTTTTGCTGGCATCAACAAGTCGAGAAGGCTGACGCAAGAATGCTCTTTACATCCGTCAACCTAGCCGACTAGTTTTCCTAAGAATGTAAAAGGCAACACGGTATCTTTCGAGGTGGCGTGTCTTAATTCGACAAAAGACACAAGGTTCGAAGCAAGTTTCGATCTGCAAAGGTGCAAAATGTTCCCTCAAGGGATGGTCTTGCAATTTGTCGCGAGAGCTCGTTGTTGTGAAGCAGGAGGAAGCGGGTACGGTCAGATTTTCGCCTTCATGCTCCTCAGCAAGCGCAAGTGCATTGACCACGACCAGTCGCAAGTCGATGTCGTGAGCGTCAGCAGCCAAAGGTGCACGCAAGGCCGGCTTGTCATTCCACCTTGTAGAAGTTGGTCAGCAGTTGGCATGTCAGATCCAACATGGTTCAAAAGCCAAAGGGAGGCGTTCTTGACGGCACGCTGCTGCAGTGTCATCAGCAGCTTCGTTGCCTGGAAGTGTTTGGTGGGCATGGACGTGGTGTCCCTTCAATATGCCGGAAACTCGCGCTGGAAGGAGGCTCAAGCCACTGTCAGGGTATGAGAAGAGCAAATGCTGCCTGTAGGAAGACGTGCTGACAAGGGTGGGCAGAGCGTCAGGCCGCGCCTGCAACAGCCAAAATAAACTCTACGCAACATAGCACCTGTTTCTGCCTCAATCGGATGATGTGTCGGGCCTCCAATGTAGTGTTGATTGGACATGATTGGACTGATTGAAGTAGATGAAGGCAGAAATGGGCGCAGTTGCACCGATCCTTGAATTGCGCAATCGCAAAGAATGACCATCCGATGAGGAGCGGTCATGATCTGCATTTCCATTGGAATAGATGCGCCAACGTGCGCACGTCCAATCGTCATGGAAATTCTCCGACGTAGCCTGGAGTGTTGTCACAGGTGCCAAGCATTGATCACAGTGGTGTATGAAGGACGTCAGGAGTGTTTCACACTGCGAAAAATGCATCAGCAAGGTGCCCTACAGGTCGTGGTGGCGCATGCTGAAGGAGGCACACGCTGACAATCAGCATAGATATCCACGATGTCACCGCGTTGAGCAATGGTGCACCCTCTTTGGGGCCCACGAATTGCGCCAGTTGCTCTACTATTTGAGGTGAAGGACGTGGAGGTACCATCAGCGCTTCAACTTGACTGGTTGATTGCCTGGGGAAGGGCGCGCACGCAAATCGGGATGTGGCCCTGTTTCATCACGTTAAGCATCACCATGATGTGAGCAGCATCAGGCGAGTTGAAGAGCTGGCCATGTGGACATCAAAAAGGCGAATCAGTAGTGGCGCGAAATCTCTGAGCGCCAGGGTGCAGGAATGCCAACAGATGTAAAGCGACCTGCAATATACAATCATGTGCAAGGCATTCAGGTAATACACCTGAATGCACTCAACGGTCTCACATTTCGACTGACCGTTGTACAATCAGCAAAGTCCAAGGATGGCTGTAGATCAAGTCTACCACAAAAAAGAAAGTGCTAAACAGCTGTCATTCTTTCCAGAAACGTCAACTGAAGTCGATCTTGGCTGCCTTTGACGGTCCATTTGCTCAGGATAAAGTGAGAATCTGCCAGTTCCCAGAAGTGATGAAACCTTTCCCAACAAGTCCAATCTTCAAGACGTTCTTCAAACCGTCTTTGAGGCGTTGATATATGTTGATATTCTCCAGAGTTGAACTCGTCAAAGATGTTGCTGTACTGCAAGTGGAAGTTGGCCTGTGCAACACCAAGAGAAGAACTGCAACGAAGTGAGAGCATCACGAGAGTGGTTGGCGATTGAAGCCATGGTGAACTCATCAAGTTCAGCAACAGAAGTGTGAAGGAAGCAGACATCTGGAGCCCTGAATCTGATGACGTTGGCAAGGAAGGCGCAATGTCTGCTGACACGCAGAGGCTCAGAACAGCAGATGAGGAAGCTCTTCGAGCAGGAGGAGGACGACAGTGGCGTGACAAAACTGTGACCACACTACTCCCTTTAGCTTCGAAAGGGGTGTGTAATATAGGTTTTCGTACGCGTCACCAATCAATTCTCTGATCCTGGCCGATTCCCAGAACGCGGACTGCAAGTAGACCTCAACATTGCGCCATGCGAAGCCGGAGGAGAGCCAGCATTACTTTCATTCCCGCAAGGCCAAGGTGCACAGCCAAATAAAACAAACAAGGACTGAACAGATTTGCACAGGTATGTCCGCTGCAAAGGCTAAAGTTTATGTATGAGGTAGGAGAAGGAGGATCAGAAGAACTGAACAACACAGCTCAGAAGTCCAGCACTGATCCAAACCATGCTCTGCACAAAATTTGATGTCATCGCTGAGAACAAACTCCGTGTAGTCGAACTGAGATGAGTCGAACCTGTCCTCCTTCGACTCCTTCTTGAACCTTCTAGCTGCTTCCTCGAGACCTCTCTCAACAAATTGCTATATAAGTGTCTGCTTTGATTGTTGCAGCCAAGTATAGCCCTAAAAAGCCCTAAGTAAAAGAACTAAGACATACTGTGCAAAACTAGATAGAACATGATAAAACAATGAAAAGCTAAGTTTAGCTGCTTTTTCCTAAGTTAAGCTGAGGCAATAGATAAGAGCAGCAGACTCTCACGCAACAAGCTTCATGCCAACACAGCCCCACAGCAAAGCCAACTCAGCACAAACAACAAACTACACCACACCAACATTAGACAAACAGCACTGCACAAAGCAAACACTGCCTAAAACAAAATGGTTTCTTAAACCCTTGTTTATGTCATGTTAAGCAGGCTAAACTAAACCCATTCACACACACAACCCATAGATAAATTACCACACACTACAATTCCCAATGACGTCAAGAAACATTGTAAAGTAGCAGGCTAGCATCTAACAAAGTAAAAAGACAGCAACTACCCCATGGCAAAGCACAAAGTTAGTAGACATTGCAGCACAAACACAACATAACTACCAATGTTAGGGCACCACAAAGTAGAAGGGCAGCAGCCACACATTGTAGACATAGCACAAACATCTCAAAACAGTTACCAATGACAAGACTTACTGCAAAAGAACAAGCTAGCATATGACAAAGTAAAATGGAAAGCAGCCACCTCCATGGTAGTGAAGAAGCTAGCATATCTTAGCCTGTCTTAGGGCTATATGTTTCTCCTTTCACCACCTTGTAGCAGCCATTTATGTAGCAGCCACGCATGGTTTTGAAAGAGCTTTGTTGAATGGAGCTTCAGCAGATTTAGCAGCGTTCATAGTCTGTATTGAAGAATGGTTTCGTCCAGATGTCAGTGCACCTTTTTGCAAGGTTGACAGCCATTCAGCAATTAATATATGTTGGAAAGCTCTCAAGACCTAGCAGAAGCAGATCAGTTTTATATCCCAGAAGTTGTCATGTTTTAAAACTCCAACCTCAGTACCAGGAAAAAATCCACTTTTTAAGAAGGCACCAAATCCCTCACCTATCTTGATTCTCCATATATTTTTGGTATCCTGCACTTTCTACCAGATCTCGGTATTATTACCGTTACTTTCTATACATCTTTCTACCACCATGGAAGATGGAAAATCTTAGTCGGCGAATCGAATTGGGCAAAATGTACGACAGAAATCTCTGCGCGCGCTCTCTCTCTCTCTCTCTGTCTCTTATCTTGCTGCTTGTCTCTTTTCATTTCTTTTCAATCTGTTCACTTCTTTTACATTAACGAGGACGAGGACAACAAGGTGATGATGCTCATCTTGATGTTAGGTCCCTGATGCGGGAAACCTACCAAGAATCGGTCCCTTGGGTCCCCAAAAGAGCAAAACCTCTTGTCCCAGGCGATGGTTCTTGGTGCCAGCACCTTCAAAGGGGTCACCTGGCTGGAAGCCCCTACACCACTAAGGGACCTCCAGACAGGACACCCCTTTTTCAGGTCCAGGTATGTAAATTAGCACCCGGCATTGACTAGACTTAACCGAGCAGCAAAAGCTTCACCACCGCGATGCGATTGGCACCAATCGCATAGCCCAAGGCAGTGATGCCCTTGAAGTCCTGGTGCCGCAACAGTCCGAACACTCCCAACATCTCCCAACAGATCGGTCGTGAGTCGGCTTCGTCGTCGTCGGCTTCGTCGGTTTTCGTCGTCTCCGCGGGGTGAGGTTCCGTCGAAGTGGACACACCGGGAGGTCCGCATTGTTCGTTGGAGCCGAGACAGCGAGGACCTGCCTGACTGTCCAACGGCTTCTTTTTGTCCAAGAAGGTCTTGACCGCCTCGGCATCGACGGCCGATGTCCGCGCGCGGGCGAAGTCTGAAGAAAGCGAATCCGGGCGGTGAACGGACGTGTGTCCTCCAAGGGGTCGAAGCCCGATCTCGTTCCCGGTGGTTTCTGGGCACCAAGTGAACGGAGTTCCGGAAACGAACGCCGGAGGGTTCGAGGGTCCAGATCCACTTGCATTGTGAAACCTCATCTTCGTAATTCGTGCCATGCGGGATTGACAGAGTAGTTACACCCGGGAAGATTAACGTGGAACCCGAACATGCACCTTTGGAAGACCATTTTCCTCTACAACTCCGTGGTTTTCAGGTTCCATGTTAATTGTCCAGAGTATAGTTATATAATGTTATATACTAATTACGCAGGTGCCAGTGGGATCGTGTGGGATGCGCGCTGCCCAGATCGAGATGAACCACACGATGCGGACGGATCCAGACCTGCAGCGACGTGGGTTCCACCGCAGCGACGTCCGGATCAGTTCGGTGTCTCAAAGTGATTCCCAAGGATTCGCCTTGGGAATGGTCAGTAAGGGTGAGACGAGTTGAAGAACTTCCTTTACTTCAAGAAAAAGAGTAGCCACATGTCGGGGTGCGATCCATGGAGTTTTTTCGGGGTGCCCAGCTACTCCACTCACTTGGGGGTTATCAAACACCACCCCCTTTTTGTGACTGCTGGTTTTGGAGTTTAGTTGTGATGTATTTGTTTGATCCAAATAGTCCTTGGACTTCGAGGACTTCTCCGTCCCTCGCGGCTCCCACGGACGCACCCGCCACTGAGCCAGGGCCGAGCAGCGTTGAGATCGCCCCTCTTGGCCGCTTCATGCAGGGTCATGGCGGTGTCCTGTTTCGGAATGCACCATGGATGCCAGTACTAGTTGTACTACAATACAGCATGAAAAGATCACAGAAACGCGAACCAGCGTGAAGCCAGCGTGAACCAGAATACTAAGCGACCGATAGGTGTGTCGACCGCGGACGGCGGCAGGTGAAGACGGTCCGGTGAGGTCTGAGACGTGAATGGACGTCGACGTGACCGGTGGCGCACGAAGTGAAGAGGAAAGATGTCAGCTGTTCTCACTCTACTAGCTCTATAGCTTATTTGGGATTGTGCCATCTCCTCTGCCAATGGACATATCTGGAGAATAGAAGATTGCGACACATTGCGACTGACTACTTACTGCAGCTGTCCACAGCAGAAAAAGACCAGAGAATAAGCAGACCCGAAGACCCTGTGCTCTGGCTGTTTATGTCCCAAGTGACGTGGCCGGTCCTGGAGAATAAAGACAAAACGACCAGTTCGCATATAGCTCATGGGTCAAAACCCAGGCCCCTGATCCCTGGTAGTATACATTGCTTCTCTAGGTCTATTCCGTTGTGTAGAAAAAAACAAAAAAAAGGTACAGATCAACCCCCGTGGGTCTCAAGTGGGGTACCGTTAGACTCTGAAGTCTCTGATCTCTGGTGCTTTCCTTGGTCTCTGGTCTCTTTCGCCCCCCCTCCGTTCCTCCCGATGTTCGAGTCACGAGTCACGAAACAACCACGTTGGCGTCCAAGCACGTCGCGTTTGCGGTCTCGATGCAACGTGGGGAGACCGGTCGACCGGTCCGCTTCGCTCCAGCGCACGGTTGCTGCGCGGTCCTCGATCTTCTGCAAGACCTGAGGGGTCCATGGCTTTTGGACCAACTTGTTGGACACACACCGCAGCATTTGGACAAGACAGAAGGTCCTGGTGGTCAAGAGAGTCTGTGGACTTTTTTCACTGGGTCAACCTTTCTTGGTCAACACCTGTGAAAAAGAGTTGAAACACCTTCCCCCCCCATCCTCCAAACATCCCCAAAAGCAGCCGTTGGCTTCGCGAAGACGTTGGACATCGATGGTGGTCCGTCTGTCTCCATGTGGCTCTCCACCCACCCCACGGGCGTTTTAGACGAAGAGTGGACCCGGTTCACCTGAATCGACGTGAATCGTGTTTGGCCCCGGGGAGTCTGAAGGACAAGTGAACGACACGAAGAAATAGCTCATGCCAAGAGAGGTTGAACAGCGTAGCCCATCCCATATATACCATTATATACCACTACAGGGTCCTATATGGTCTCTCAACCTCTCTTGGTGATTTGAGTGCTTTTGCTTGGGGTCGAAGGGGTTTTTAGAGAGTCCGCAGGGTGAAGTCTTCACACGGCGTGTCGGACGGATCTTTTTGTTCAGAGGGGCGACCCCAACGGCAAAACCAGAAGTGGGTCGGTCCACCAAAAACATGGTCAAGTGGGGTCCAACTAGGATGATTGTTGGGTGGTTGGATATCTCCATCACCAGGATCAACAGGTTTCAGTGGATGATGGGTTGCAGGCCTTTCCATCTCAAGAATAGCGATGTTCTCTTGGAAACCCTTCCTGTTGCTGAGAACATCTTGAGAACCCCACCCCTTCGCCCGAGGCGCCGCGCCACCCAAGTCAGCCCAAGGGACCGGAGACAGCTCGCTGGGCAGTCCGCCCATCTTCTGGCTGATCTTCAACCTCAGATGCTTGGATGAAGCCTCTATAAACATCTTCCCCATGCAGGTCAGGGGGATTCACCAAGGCACCGGTTGATTTTTCGAAATCACCCTTCAGAATCCGCCCCAAACCATCCAACACCACGTGCCGCGAACCCTTGCACGCGCACCTTGGGGAGTCGCCATGGCGGCGGTCCGTTCAGGAGGGATGAAGGGGATCTCGCGGACCCAGGCTGGATGATAGTTCAATTCGCGCATGATCATGAAGGGGTAGAACACCATCCCAACTGGGGGATGTTCTTTTTGTAATCAAGTAGAGTCTACCATATTTTAAAAAATAAAGATAAACATAATAATGATAAACTAAGGTGAAAGAAGAGATGCAACCAACCCATCACCAACCACTCGAGCCGCATGATCTCCTCATCCTGGTAGTACTTCATGGCAGCCTTCGTCCATCGGTGAACGACCCAAGACATGGGATGTTTTCTTCACTGAAGACATGAGTAAGGGGCGCCTATAACCTTCAAACAACGCCTATAACCTTCCACGCCTTTATAGGATCCGATCCCATGGTATACGGTCAATGCAGAATGATGGCAACATGAACATCATGAAGAAGCAATTCAGACAATGCATTGAGGCATCGATCAAATTTGCTATTCTCCTGGTCGGGACTCATCTGATGTTTAAACAAGTCCATCAGTTTGACCTGAAAGCCAGGGTTGTTTGACAGTTGATAGTTCCTTGTTATTTGACAGAAAACCCCTCTGTGGCGGAACACATGTTGGATTGAAGCAAACACACAAAAAAAGGATAAGTAAACAATCTTCCATTTGTCTCTAGCTATTGTTTTCAGACCAATTCTTTCCTTCCTCTGGAGGTGGGGCTGCCTCCATGCCGTTCTTCTTGATGTCTTCGAAGATCGGAGCCAACTCCTTGGTGGGAGGCATCCGAGAACAGGGAATACCAGGACACCGGGATGCCTAGCTACACACATTCCCCTCCCCGAGATTGCCAAAATCCCCTCCCCTTCTTCTGTCAGATCTCTCTCCCAAAGAAAAAAGAAGCACCAGCACCACCCACCCTTCTTCCCCCGCTTGGATTTCATCCCCCAGAAAAAAGACTCCACCCAGCCGAATCCACGCAAAACTGCCATCTTGCGGTTCGCGGTTCCGAAACCCCTGCAAAAAGAGAGGGAACCTCTTCCCCATGCAGGTCAGGGGATGTACATCAGGTACTACCCTCCTTGAAAAGAATCATGGCAGTGGCGTTCACCGCCGAAATCACCTCTTTGGTCTTCGGATGTCTTCGGGTCCTCCGACCTCCTTGCCAACCAGCTATTCCACGGTTCTGATGAGCTTCAGGGAGTGTCCAGGAGTGGTCCCAGAAGGGGTCCTGCCTTTTGGGGCGTGCAGAAGCGGTACTTATACACCTATTCTCAGAAATCCCAAAAACATCCGCCACCGCCCACCCTGTTTTTCCATCTCTTCCCCTCTGCCTTCAACTTCACCCCCGTCCCCCTCCGTGTCACTCCCGCGTTCCGGACGCGCGAGACCGCTCGCGGCGTTCCTGGGGTCGCGGCGGGATCCGACTCCAAGGACTTCACCTTCTCCTGCACCGGGGTGTCGCCGTGGGACAGCTTGCCTCGGGAGGAATCGACCCCTCGACCCACTCCGACGGTCGAAGAAGCAGCGAGGAAGGGTGGAAGAAAGCGCTCTTAGAGCGGATTCTCAGCAGGGAGTGGGTCGCGTCCTTCGAATGGCGGGATGAATTGAAGAACCATTCACCTATAGTGGTACGGGTCAGGAACTGACCTCATGAAATACTGGACGTTGATCCATGTTGCCCTGCTCTTTTTCGCTTTGAAAAGGACCGGGTTTTGGACCGGTCGTTGGACTTAGAGCGTTTGACGAAGGTAAACCAGGTCAACCATGTTACAAAACTGGAACCTCCAGTGAGCCTTCCACGATGGGCTCGTCCCTTGGGAAAAGTGCGACCCATCTTGCACGTGGAGGTTTTAAGCAACTCTGTTCTCGATCCATGGCCTCGATATCCCTGCGTTTAGTGCTGCGGTCCAAAAACGGATAGCTCAACTGTCAGTTTCTGCGTGTTTCTGCCAGCCCAAGTCAGCTCATCTTTGCTCTTCGAATCCCACGGATCTCTCTCTCTCTCTCTCCCAACTGGTGCTGGGTTGATGGCTCCGGCCCTGCCCAACTGGATCCCCAAAAATACAGCAACTACCACCAGCACACTGGACGGGTCTCCGAAATGGAGGGTTGGGAAGGAGCCCCCAAAAAGAGGTCGAACCCTTGGTGACCTAGCAGGTGAAGGTGCTGGTACCAACACCCTCCCTGCCGGGTGATGAACGGTTGTGCTCGACCCAGCATGTCGCATTTGTCACATCAAGATCCTGTGCAGGATCCACTAAGATCAAGCCCGGAACTGGGGGGTTCTATACAATAAGACAACCTGTTCTATATAAAAAAAAAAAAAAAACATTGTACTATTAAAATATTTAGTTCTTCAGTTCATCTTAGTTCCTTCCTGCCCAATCCATCTGAGAAACTACCCATTTCTTCACTTCAGCACGTCTTCAATCGCCCACGCCACCAAGTGGCTGTTGTAATGCTCGGCAATGGCCTGTGTCTGAAGCCAGCCCCGCATGGCATCCGGATTCTTAGCGAAGTTCTGCAAGGCCTTGAGGCAATGACACTGGACAAGACCTGTGCCCCCGAGCAAGGCAAGTGCCTTGCTCCTAAGACAAAGGGTGCGGAAAACGTGCCAAAACGAGGCCTTCCCTGCGATTGTTCATGGTGCAGATGTGTTTCGCGCATGGTTTTGATGGGATTCTGAATCTTTTTTGGGGGGGGCAATGTAGTCCTCCTGAAAATCTGATGTTCTCCAAAATGCAGCGAATGGTTCTTCCTTTGTGGCCAGGTGCATGGGTGTGAGGGATCCCCCCTGTTAGCTGTCTCACTGTTGAAAATCCCTTGTTTCGTGTGGGAAAAAGGTATGTGTTTGCCGATTCCTGTTTGGTCTTGTACTGTAGCGCACCACTTGTTGGCATACTTAATGGACATCCAAATGGCCGACGCCGACACGAACTCGCAAGATTACTGGCCATACTCGAACCACTGAAGCGTTTTCTAGCTACAACAGGACAACATGCAGGGCCTATCTTGCTGTAATCGGAGATAGACCTAGATCCTAGATATCAATCTTGATGTATGTTGTTCGTTGGATTAATTGAACTTTTTGTCAGCTACCCAGCTACTAGGGAGAATGTAGCTGCTACATTCTCCCTAGCCTTCAAGCGACCCTTCCAAGGTTGGGCTCATTTTGTGGTCTAAAATCCTTGGTAAAACCATGGTTGTTCGGGATTCGAACCCTTAAGTTAATGGTGCTTGGAAGCCTTAAAGGTTCGGTATGTGCTACTCTACGTTGGAGGCCCAAAAACTCTGCCTTCGCCATCGACAATGGTGCTTGGAAGCCTTAAAGGTCCGGTATATGCTACTCTACGTTGGAGGCTTATAGGGTTCTCTGCTTCGCCCAACACCGACATCAACTCCGCCTTGGCAGTCTCCGGGTTGCCCTCCACATAGGCCTTCCGACCACGACCGAACCAACAAGCTCTTGAAGTTGAACCCGACTCCGAGGGCCTTTAGTCGAACGCAGTGTGAACGCAGAAACCAAGCGTCAGGACATCGGACCTGCCCACCACCTTTGCAACAGGTGGAGGGCTAGAAGACCCGAGGTGAAACACCTTGGAGACCGAACTGGTCACCAGGTTCCATACCGGATTTGCAAAGTCCAGGTGTTCAAAATCCACTCATCACTCACCCGCTGCGCGCGGTTTTTCCACATCACCGTGATCCTCTACCACGCGATCGGCCTTCACCTCCTGCCAGGTCTCATCATCCAAGTCCGGCAATCGGGTGATCTCCATGCCTCGGCCGATCCAAACCGAACCGAGCCGAGCCGGGAGCCTGGGAGCGGAGCGGAGGGCTGTCGCGGGGGGCCGGTCCGAAGGAACCGAGGTCTCCTATGACCCGAACTAGTCGAAGGTTCGGGTTCTGACCCACCTCTGGAAGGAACGTGAGCTAGCGCCTAGGCCGCCTGCAAGCTACCCTGCGATGGCCTACCTAGCAAAAGGAACCTGCAATGGCACTAGCAATGGCTTGGGAAGAGCGACATCTTTTGAGGAGAGAGGTTTGCGGCGACATCTGGAACTTCTTTCTCCAACTGCTCAATTCCGAGATCCTCGACAGCTCAATTCAGCTGCTTCGCTCAAAAGGGGATCACAAGCTCGCAACCCGCCCCGGTCACCTTCCGTTCAACTATGCTTTAAAATGTTTGAGCTTGTTTTGTAGTCTTAAGTAAAACTGTGGTTGCTCGGTGAAGATTATTCAATTCAAGGGGTACCAAAATAGCTTGTCAGTGCCCAAAAAAGGATGCTGCAGCAGCATGTCAGCTAGGTGTTCACCTCCTTTTCTGCCTGAAGAATGGATGGCGTTTCAATGTGTGTTTTCATGTTCTTTGTTCAAACGCTCGCGATCGAAAGTCGATCCCCATCTATATGTGTTCTGACCAGCGCCCGAAACCTGCGTCACCACTTGCCATTTCAGTCAAACTCGAAGAGCCTGTAGTACAAGTCGGGTGCTGCCAGCCGCCTGGACTCTCTCCTAGTTGGTTGGAACCGGTGAAACCCAAACCCCAAAAACACCTCAAACCGAAACAACCCCCGTTCTTCACGAAGCTTCCGAAACCACACTGAGTTAGACCCATCCCTTCGGTCCCTTCGGTCTCGGTCACTAGAGCCATCGCTGATCTTCAACGTCTCGGTGGCCATGGGCACAGCGGAGCGGTCTCGTTCTGCGGATCGAACCGAGGTTTGGAACGCCCTTCTGAGCCGAGACGGGCGCGGGCAGGCAGGTCGCCGACGGGCGCCGATGGTCGGACCCGAGGGGAGCCTGGATGGATTCACGGACCGTGTTGGAGGTGTTGGGGGTGTGGAGAAATCACGACAAGTCACAATGCAAGAAAGGGACTGGCAAACCGCCGCCACTCTTCGAATTCCATTTGGGGGTTGCGAAAACGCGCACGTCGCTCGCTGTGTTCGAAGCACGCGCACGCGCTGAGATTCGGGAAGAGATCAGTGTCGCTTTGAGATCATGGTCCTTGTCTCGCCGTCTCCAGAATGGCTGAACACCTCTTTAATATGTCAATGTATAGTCTACACTGCGACTCACTAACATGAACCCAAAACAAGTTCTTTGGTATCTTCGCACCAGATGGTCTTTCCAAGAACCATGCCATCCATCCACATCCACATCCGAATGAGTCTGAAGGTGTTCTGCGTGGTCCCCCCTTCGATGGCCGGCCCTGGGCCGCCGCGTTCGGCGATCGGACCGGGTCTCCGAGACTCCCCACCAGGGACTGCTGCCTTGAGGCGAGAACGTGCGGTGGGAACGACGGACCTGGTTTGGACGGACCGAGAATGGTCGGTTCGGACCTCTCTTAAGAGAGGTTTGACGCTGGGTGACCTGAATCTGAAGTCAGGACGCGTAACCTGAGGCACCGGCCTCGTAAATGGTATGTCCAAAAAGGTTCTATGTTCAATTTCGGTTGCTTCAAGGTGTGTCCTTCCTGGAGATCCCGGAGAGTGGTGGGCTGGGGCGGCTGGAAGAGCCAGGTGGCCTTGGGCAATTGGCAAGGTGCTGGCACACTCCGCATAAGAAATCATGGTGCGCCCCGAGTTCCAAATCCAAAGACCCAAATGGTGGTGAACTCCATTTCCATGCACGATTATTTCAAGTAAGAAGTACCGGTGGGGATAGAAACATGTTCAAAGCAGGTTGATTGGTTCACGGTTTGACTTCTTCCAATCTGTTTCTGCTTCACATCCTCCCAACGAATGGTACGTTCCAAGGCAGTTCAAAGTTTTGAGGTGGCCAAATAGATATCTCAGCCACTCCATGTATAGAACATTTGAATATGCCTACATTGGAATGGTTGAAATGGGGTCACTGTAGCCACAATATTCCACCCCCATGGAATGCCTGGCTATGAACAATAAGAGCTTACAGACTCTGAAGGAGACTTTCAACTTCTGGCACTAGTCTGCCGCCAACCCGTCACCACCCTATAATCTACCACCCAACTAGCCACTAGCCTTTTTTTCCCCAAACAATGTGTCCACACTAAGGTGCCTGATCGGCAGTGTGCGCATCCATGTTTGGCGAGTTCGCCGCTATTTACAGTACGACCTCGAGATCTTCGAAGTGCACTTCGACTGCGCAGGCTCGCAGAAATTGGTGGGTTGGCGTGGGTGCTCTTCTCGACTGCACCTGCGTTGCGGTGCCGTGCGCACTTTTTGGACTTGGCAATCACTTTGCGATGCAAGTGCCAGGGAAACCTCGTGTTTTGATGGTCCAAAGTCGACTTTTCGTGGCAAGCGCAGGGGATCGGAGCGGTTTTACTTCGACGTGCAGATTTCCTGGCAGGCGAAGTACGGACATGCTGCTGGTCTTCGCGCTCTGATTTCGTGGCAGGTGCAGTGAATTGCGACCTTTGAAATGAGAATACTTGAGAGAGGAGGGGGTGAACGAAAGGTAGCAGGCAATCACAAGTAACCCTGGTAGAAGTCCATGACGGCGTGAACCGGCGCAGGGGGGATTTGATCCAGGGGGGGGCCCCCCCCATTCAATGCACAATCCCAACTCCTGATTGTAATACATTTTTGCTAAAGCAAGGAGAACTCAGGTAGCTCAAGCTACCTTTCGTGATTTCCTGCAGAAATAAACATCACAGACGGAACTTCTTAAAAAGGAGAGAGTCCAGCCATGGCGGAGACTGCTCACGGGGTTCAAAGCGCATAATCCTTCGTGCAGTTTACAGGGTGGACCCTTGATCATCCAAGCATGTTCAGGTTGGTTAAGCACATATTTCTATCCTCCAGCATGGACACCCACTTTCATGGTGCCACCCTTGAATGTTGCCCTTTTGGCGTGATTGTTCTGCACATTCTGCATTCTTCCTCTAGTCTCTGAACAAATTTGATAGACTGTAAACCCAAGAATTCCAGACTGAACTATAGTGCCTGGTGCGACTCGTAAGGAACTCAAGGAAGGGATTTATAACCCAGGGCATCCAGGCAAACCACGATGTCGCTGGGAGTCCCAGTGGTTCCAGTTCGACCAAACCAGTTTGACCGGTTCCGAAGGGCCCCTAGAGTTCCTGGTTCCGTACTCGTGGGAACTGCCGGAAGGATGCACTGGGCTAAGGTTACCTGTTTTGGGAGGGTCGTTCCCAGTCCCGACGGGTTCCGGGTTCTTTGTCGTGAGGTCCCTGCTGCAGCGGTGGCGGTGGCATGCCAATGGCCTGCAGATAGGATCACTGGACAGGCATGACACCTCTCGGATTGGTGTTTTTCCCTTCAAAGACATGGGGGAAGAGAAACACACACAAAAAGAAAAAACGATTGTGCAAAAGAACGTCTTGAATTATATAGAATATTGTTAGCTAATGGCAGTCCTGCAAGCTGAAATTTTGCAAAATGGCAGTCCGTTTGGGATGAGGTGCCTTTCCTGATTCTTCCACAATCACAACCACGTGTGGAACTCCTCTTTTCATGGAACACTCACTCACTTGCCAAAACCCGGTAAAGAATCCGCGTGCCCAAAGATCAAAACCTCAAGAAGACCAGATCTCGATTTTCTGCAGAAACTTGTATGGGAAGAGAGTAACTCTCGCTCTCCATCAAAAAACAACACCACTCCCCCAAACTACATGCCCGTTTGTGAATGTTCAGGAGTGTTTGCATGTTTGACCGTTGCTGAAACACTTCCACCCGCCCCAGGTTGCCGTCCGGTTTTGGGCAGGCGACCCGGAATGGACTCGCACCCATGAGATCTGTCCCAAGTCGTGAGCACCAGGACGGCAGAAACCCACCCCCTTCAATGGACTCCACGACGGTGGGTTCTCTTTCAATCGGAAGAAAAGGTCTGTAAGACAGAGTGAGAAGACCAAAAAAATCAAAGAATGCCAAAAACATCCAAAAACACGGATATGACCCCAGGCCTCAAAGGTCAATCCTGAGTGAGCACGACCCCCAATTTAAATGAATGAAACCTGTCCGAAACAAATGTCGAGAGTTGTGGCAATCGTGGTTCAAAGGAGTCCAGAGTTCGTGGAACCAATGTCTTCCCCAATTTCTTCACATGCACCCCAAAGACAGAGGTTTATTAGTTCGAAAAAATCGGATGCTATCCAACCTTTTCTGGTTAATGGCAAAACATTCCCCGAACGAAGCCCAGATTGATTCTCTTGATTCTCGGAAGCGCCCTGTTCGTGTCCTTTTTCACTCGACGAAAACGAAAAAACGACAGTGGATGTGCAGCTCACATGACATTCTCCCAGTCCAACCCCGAGAAGATCGCTTTCCGGGACCCTGAAAGACACCCCAAATCTGGATCAAGGGAGTCACACGCTGGTCGTGACGAACGTCGAGTCACTAGACCTTCGTTCGGACACGTCGTGGAACTTTCGCATCCCCCCGCGGCCTGTGGCGGATACCGCGTCTGCAAGGGCGGCAGGGGAGCCGGGACGCCAGGGTGCAAGGCGCCCTGCCCGGCGAAGCAGCTTGGTGCGGGTCGCGCTGGTTTGCGAAGGAAAGGATGATTTAGAGAACATCCACATGCAAAAGAACATCAAGATGACAGAGTGAACAATACAAAAAGTATCAAATAATTGAAGCTCCTGTTTATGAATCAAACCAGGAACCTCCTGGCCAGGCTGTTTTGGGGATCATTTGGGACCCATCCGCAGCATCTAACAACCATCCACAGGTGGTGAACCTGGGCATTTCTTATTGTCACAAGATCGGTGTGCTGGTACAAGTCTTCCTTCAGTAGGAGGAAGTGCTGCTGCAGGAACCAGCCTCACCCAGTTCAGGTGTCCCAATCAAAACGGGGGGGAAGAATTTCCGGGTTCAGGCAGTCAGACTCTCGCAGTCTGGTGTTCTTCTAGACTCGAAGACTGACCATTGTCTGTTCAATAAGAACACCTGAACTGAGTGCTGGAAGACACTGCATGTTCTTTGCAGCGACTGGGCGTCTTCTGCTGGTTTTGATCCCCCGCGCCACGCAGGGGATCCTCCATCCATTTGGTCTAGCAGGGTGAATGGGAGATGGTCTTCATCGGTCATCAAGTCTATCTTTACGGATCAGAAATGGCACACGGGTTTGCTTGTGAAAAAAACATGCCGAAGTATGGAAGTATGGAGACAGCATAGCTTGGTGTCCGAAATCATGCAATCAGGGTTGAAGGTCCAAATCGGTCTAGCCGTCCAATTCAAAATCGACACTCTGAAACCTGTGGTTGACAAATCCTGGATGTACCAAAATGGTCGATCTTGGTCAAATCTGATCTGAAAACTCTTATACAAATCAACACTGGAATTAGAACTGTCACTTGAAATTGGAATCTAGATGAATCTAGCCATTCAATGCAAGTAGTCATCAAGTGACAGTTCAAATTTCTGGTCATCGTTGGCGACTGTCACTGAAACTAGCCATCACCCAACAAATAGTCATTCTGGTTGGTCCATCAATGCACCGAAAGGGCTTCCTCCTGGAAGTTCAAAGGTATCCACCTGCACCTGGTTCCTTTAAGGCATGTCCTGGAAAACCCCCGGAGAGTTGAGGGGGTGGGCTGGGGCGAAACCAGCCAGGTGACCCCGAACCAGCCAGGTTGCTGCACTGTCCTCCTTCGTCTTCGTCACTAAACCGCAGACGGTGGGACGCCGCGCGGCGGACGGACGATCCGCGAGATGTGGGCAGCCGGCTGCCCACCCGTTCGAGTAAGGTGATTCTCAAAAAGGACATCCAGCGGTTCTGGTAGATCTCGTGGAGTGAATTCACAATTCCCAACAAAAAAGAGGAGATCCACGTACTTCGCGTTCCGTGACATCGTCTCAAACCTTGGCTGAAAGGACCGGTGAGACTGGCATCGATCAGTTGGAGTGGTTTGGGGGGGGGCGTCGGACTTTGGGGCATCTATGGCTGTAGGTCGTGGCGCCCAAGAACGCCGAGCAGTGGACTGACGTTTTACCTGGTGTGTGGACCGGTCGTGAAAGCAGCTACATGGTCGACTGGTCGGGCAGCTACATGGCGAGGCTTGACCCGGCCCATGCCCGGTCCGATCCTCTTAGCATCTGGAAACACTTCTGATTGGAACTGGCATATAACTGAGGTGTTTCGAGGTGGGCATTGAACTGAGCACATCCCATGGCGTTTCGGTTTTGTAGCGTGCCGCGCCTTCGGAGGCGGCACACTGGCGCCTGGCGAAGCTGCGTGAAGGCGGCAGGCAGCGGAAGGTGCAGCAGGGCGGCTTCGAAGGTTGGAAGATCTGAGGGTCGATGGTACATTCACTGCACTTCGAGTACTTAGACGAGATAGATTCAACAGGCGCAGCTGCAGATTCACGCAGCTGTCTCTTAAGATGTTCATGATTCCAAGGCGTTTTTTCCCTTCGAAGCAGGCCCTGCCTCTGCAAAGGTCCAATGAGCCAAATGAACCATAATGCTTCAGATATCATTAATATCATCCGCACAAAGTACACCTCCGCCCTCCCCTCTCCAAAGATACAAAATCATACAACATCCACACAGACATATTCCCTATAGGGATCCAGTCGTACCTTCTCAGGGTTAGGTGATGTGTTCGACACTCTCATGTAGGTTTCGTTCGGGTCCAGTCGTACCTTCCGAGGTTCGGCACGACTGGATCCCTAGGGATTCTACACACACCAAGCGAATTCCTGCCGATGTTTCTTCCGAGGAGGCGGTGGCCACGGCGGCGCCCGCCTGGAGAGCCACCGGTGTCTGTCCGGCTGCGGCGCTCCTCCTTCCGCTTCGCCACCTCAGACAGGTCGCTTCGGTCTGGGCGTTGGGCAGAACTCCGTTGGTTTCGACCCCCAGATGGTGATGGGTTGCACGGAGAAAAGAAGATTGATCATAAGGTGAAAAAGGGCACACGCGACAAAAAAGGAGGGTACCGAGAGGATCTTTTTGAGAGGTCCCGATGTCTTGCCAGCTCTTCATGAAAATGTGATCAAGTGTGCCACTCTGAAATTCCACTATGAGTCATGAAGGCAACACCTAGACCAAGTTATGGTCAGGATGAGTCTTCCTACCTTTCTGCTGTAGACTCGAACATGACCAAAACACTCCATGCATGAAATTTACCTGTCAGACTCCTGTAACCACTCCTATATATGCAATGCCTGGATATATGCAATACATGCAGTGTTTTACATATTTGCAATGCATGGAGTGTTTAGGGAATGATCAGGAATGAGGCAGTGAATAAACTCGTTTTCCGGTGTTCGGGGATGATGGTAAACTCTGAAGACTCAATGGCCTGATGGTATAGATACCGACATACCACTTGGCGACCCACGACCACATTCTTTCTCTCTTCATCTTTCTTGGCTGCAAAGCAGACAGGTTGCAACTTTGCTGTTTGCTTTTCTGTTAGCTTTTTTAAAATGCAACGAGTGACATGTGTGACATTGTATCATTGTCTTATTCCTTTTTCCCTTGTGGATTTGCACCGGAAGGGATATTTCATGGTTTCCAAGTCCAATCACCAATCACCTCTACCAGCACCCTCCAACAGGCTGTTAGTTGAGGGTTGTTGGACCCTAACAGGTCTCAATTGGTGACCTGTCGGAGGGTCCTTGTATAGAAGGTTTCTTTGTTTCACGTAACCCTGCGCTCCTCTTGGGGACCTCGGTCCCGCATCTGGCCGCGCACCTCCCCCCCTGCCGCTGAGGAACCTCCAGCCAGTCGACCCCCCAACGGGTCCCACGCGGCGCTCGACGCGTCCCGCGGCGCTCTCGCTGCTCGCTCCCGGCCTCTTGCTCGGCTTCGGAGTCGTCCACCACCATGTCGCCCGACTTGGTCCACTCGGCCTGGGTCCGGGCGATCCATGGTGCCATGGTGCCGTGGTGCTGAATTGACCGGATGATTGATATTGGCCAAACCACCCAAATATGGTCTGGAAATGAAACCATCCTGGTGGGAGGGGTGAATTCAGACTCCTTCAACGTATTGCCCTTGCTTCTTGGGCCCTTTGCCAAAAACGTCGAGCCGAGCCCTTCGCGTCAGCTGCTGTCTCACTCGTTGAAAGCCAAGAAAAAACCGGTATCAGGTCCGGTTGCAGGTTGTAGGTACTGTATGGTTGTAGATTATGTTAATCTATATATATGTATATATATATATATGTTGTATGCTTTTTTGTAGGGTTGTATATAGGTGTAAGTGTTGTTCAGGTATGGTTAGTACAAGTACGGTATGGTTAGAACCCAGTCCGAAACCGGATGCAACTGCTGCAACTCCCCAGTGCCACTTTCTAAAGGATCTCAAGCAAAGCATAGTGGGTTCAATCCAGAACTGTTTCAGGTAGGAACCAAATGTCTCCACTGTTTCTGGAAGTGTTGGTTTCCAGGAGAATGTGTTACAACAAAAAAGAGGAAACACGCTGGGTAAAAAATGGTGGAAAAAGAAACGAAGATCATCCCGGTAGCCTTAGTCTTGGTCATCTTTCTCTTTTCTCAAGTAAATTGGCCCAGAGGTTACAACCACTGCCACTCCCTTCACAGCTGAGCTCATATGACCTTGCCTTGAGATGCCAAACGTGGCCCCTCGTGTCGGGCAACTGGACGAGTCCTGCCAGCTGGATGAGTACGGATTCATGGGATTTCCTGCCGTTGCTCAGGATCGGCAAAACCAGGTCAACCGTTCTCTCAATGGTCTTTCAAGGCCGCGTTCCGAGGAAGTAGACCTTCCGACGATGCTAAAATGGCTTTCACTTGGCTGATGCTATAGATGAAAAGGCAGAAAGGCTATGCTACAGTTGGACGATCCGAAGGGTGTTCACCATCGGTCAAAACCCCTTCTGAACGCCATGCACCGACCCGGATGATGAAGATGACTTCAACCATGGTTCGACTCAGATCACCTCTGAAGGTCTACGTCTTTGCAGATCAACCTGTTTTGGAACTATATATGGAACTGTTAATATACATATTTCGACATATTTGGTACATATATAGCCCATATATATATATATAACATATATATATATATATCATCATTATATCTTCAATCATAGGAATCATCATGGCACCTCTGTTTCACCCACGAGGTGCTCAAAGAAACTGACGGGGTCAATTCTCCAGGTTCCACGGGTCAATTTGGATGTTTGGAGTTCCAAAAGCAGCCAGGTTGGCTGAACTGGGGGGGAACCTCGGTGGCTTCAACTGGTGGTTCAGCGACTACCACTCAAAACAACTCACCAAAACCTGTCCTGCTAGCCGGACGCTCCGTCAAGGTCCCTCCAAACCTCTAGATTGGGTTGCTTCGACTCCCACAAACCCCTCCATATGGAGGGACTGATCCCTCACCCTGCCGCGTCTGGAGCCTCCACATCTCCAAGCTTTGGAACGGAACCCGCCTGTCCTTGTGTGGTGGCTCGCAAAGCTTCTTCGGCATCAGCCTGCGTCGATGTTCCCCTCCACCCTGCGACTTTGTGGTGTGTGGAACCCAGGGTGACCATCAGTGAGTGTCAGGTGCCCAGCTTCGCCTCTGAATTATTGGGCGAAACGAACACGCCAGGATGGTTCAAGTGTCGAACCCATCCGCGGGGAGACTCCGCCACCAAAAACAAAGCCACCGACGGATGCATGGCTTCGCGCTTCAAACAGGAGCAGCACCGCAGGTGGGGGCGGCATCCCCTCGTTTCTTCCACGCAAATCAGCAGGACCGGACTCCAAGGGCTCCAGTGGTGAAAGACCTCGTTGCGACCGCCGCAGACTGCGACCGCAAGCGAACGCAGAACCTCATCAGTGCTGCCATCAGTGCACGTAGACGGGCGTTCAAAAGCAAGACTCCCCCAAATTCACATTGGAAAACCACCACCTATGGTTTTAATCGAATGGTTCTCTACCCTCAGACCCCCAGAGATCAACGAGAACCCTTCGCTACCCTACGTGTATAGAGAGAAAAAACACCTGGTTCTCTACCCTCGCGTCCTTCCAGTGTTCCACATAACCATGATTCCTTCAGGGATTAGTGAGGACTCAGGAGTTTCAATAGAGTTGGGTACCGAAAATCCCTCACGGATCCCTCCCCCATCCACTCACCCCCCCGCGGGAAAAACCACAATTACCCATCACAGGGTCAGGAACTGACCTCATAGGAAAAACCATTCTATAAGGAGGTTTTACTGGACTGGACTTGTAGGGAAGGCTGGAACTCCAACTTGTCCTCGGCCCTTCTGGGAGGTTTTGGGCACCTCATCCAAAACAACGCTGACATCGGACGTGGTGTATTCGTAAAACGTCCAGAAAAAAATAGATCCGACTTCCAGAAACTCATATTTTTTGCCTACAGGTACAAGAATGCAGCGGTACGCATATTTCTGCCCAAATATATGTACAAATCTTTTGGGCTGTGGTGTTTCTGTTCTCTGTTTGGGGAACAGTGTCGCTAACCTGGGTGATTTCTGTCCACGCCTTTCACCTTCAAACGATCGAAAACCACTGATTTCCGCATCCCTGTCACTGGACATGTGCAGGATGTTTGAAGAGATATTCGGCCCGAGTAAGAGGTTTCCTGTTGGAGGGTGCTGATATGGATTTGATCCAGAGTTGGACGGTCCAGAAAAGTGAATCACCTGCCAGGTGTCTGTGACAACCTGGAGCTCCAAAGGCTAAGCATGGAATGGAGATCCGTCGGCGACGAAGCTTCGCGCTTTCCGTTTGACCTTACTCAGGAACTTCACAAAGCCAAAGCAACGCGGCTTCCGGGAAGACTTATCCACCTGGCCCGTCGGTTTCGCTGCGCGTGTCATCTCAAAAAAAAGAATCATTGGACCAGCTTCTTCGGTTCGTGACCTTTTTGGGGTCGCCACTAGTAACAAGAAGCTACGAACGGAACAAAGGGCATCGCTACGAACGGAAGAAGAAGCTACATACGTAGCTCCTGGCCATACTACTAGTAACTAAGAAGGTTGCACAAACTCCTGAGTTCGTGACCTCCTCAGTTCGTGTGACCGAACCGGATCTCAAGGTCACGGACTCACGAGTCACGGACACTCGAGGCGAACTCACACTCGCGTCTCGGACACCCGATGTCGGGACCTCTCTATTGTCGGGGGATTCCAGAGGGCGGGGTACATGGCTAGACTCATTTGAAACACGGGATGCGACTCAAACAACATGCACTCAGACCGGGTGATGGGAGGCACGAAAGGATGTAGGCGCCAGGAGGGTGTCCTAGCTTCTGGGCACCCACCTTCTGTGACGCAAAAGCGGTACCTGCATCTGACTCTACAGGTCTCCGAAAATGGAGGGTTGTTGGGAAGGGCCTTCTCAATTGCTGATCCGGCAGTGAGGGTGCTGGTAGATGATTTTGTGAATTGTTTCCGAAAGTCCATGGCAAAAGGCCATAGAGACCACCCCATGTGCCAGAACTGTAGCACAAGAGTTTCACTTGAGGGGAAAGAAACTCCTGGAACGAAGACAAAGACTCCCATGCCCCAGTGGATCCAGCCCTTTCAGGTCTTGTGCATTCCAAAACCTTCTCCACACCACTTAAAAAAGCCACCTCCGACTGCCGACTTGCAGTCGATAACTCGATAACATGAATCATGGGAAACTTTATTTACTTCTTACAAAGAAGCGCACTGAATCGGGTCACCTTGAAAGTCTACCATCTACCAAAATTCTACCAAATCTACCATCTCAACAGATTCACCACACCCCAAAACCCATAAATCTTACAACCACCTTCAAAGGGGTCACCCGGCTGGAAGCCCACAACTTGACAATCTCCATTGGATACCGCTTGAAGGTCCAGGAACTGTCCCAAACGAAACCACCTTCCTCATATCGTCACCTCCACACCCTTGGGTATACGTATCCCGTTACCAAGGACCAGTGGATGATGCTTCGGTGGCAGGCCGTTCCATCTCAAAAATGGTGGTGGAACCCTAAACCCTAAACCCTTCCTGTTACTGGGACATCTTGGGTTACAACCTACATAGATGCCAGTCCCACGGATGGTCTGGGAATGAAATAATATACTGATGTTCTTCTCGTATATTATATATACCCTTACCGTTACTGCTAATGAAACATATATATATATACCCAAAAATGGTGATGAAGCTTTCACCACTTCCTACGCCTGGTCAAAACAAAAGCGTCGCGTCTGCTACCGCTAATAACACCCGCACCTAGGAACCCGCACCACGAGGTGTACACGCTTCACCCGGCAAAACTTGCTAAACTCGCGCTCGATGTCGGCCTGATAAAGGGAGAAGTGTACACATTCTTCCGACGGTCTCCAGAGCGAAGTGAATGCTACAGGCGTCCGGGAGCGAACATGGGGAGCGAAAGGGAGAGCTTTGTGTTCCAATTGTGACAGTATGAAGCCAACATGTTGATGAAAAAACAAACCAAGACACATCAGAATCATTGAGCGATGAGAACTGTATGCACGAATGGAAACATGTTCGTAGAGCACACAAGATACTTGTCAAGATACTGAAGTTAAATCAATACTTGTCGAGAAACACAGCAGCGAAGTGTCAAGAACTCGCCAAAGGTGGCCGATTTCGCCGGTCCGCGAGGGATGTTTTTTAGGGGGGATACCGGGATACCCCCTGGCCCAATAGGTCTAGACTCTATTTTCCTTCGGAGGTCTCCCAGCTTACACACCGCAGGTGTCATGGACCGTTTTCGGGCGCCCACCGACGTCCGCGGCTGGATCCGGCGCCTCCGAAGCCTCCCAGGGAAAGTACGCCTCGGCGACTCGGCTCGCTGTCGGGCGGGCGGGGCTCGGTTCGGCGGTTCACTCGGCGCGCCCGTCTGACGGACTGGACTGGGTGTTTCTTGGTGGCCAAAGATTTGGCCCACAGCCTCTATACAGTGAGTTGATGTGTTCTTTTAATATTCATCCGCCACTATGCGGAGACTTGAGAGGCGCCTAAGTCTATGGCTGGTCGCCATAGTCGTTTCGCTCAAATCTGCTTTGTTCATCGATCCACAATTTCATCCATATATGTTTATAGCAGGTAAACGCGCCAGCTCCTCAGCCAGAAAACTCAAGGACTACCTCTTCTTCCGACTTAAAACATATATCGACAGCACAAAGCCTCGCTCTTCTTCCATATTTGGTGGGGGGGGGAATGCCCTCCCATCTGGCGCACCGAATGGGTATGTCCAGGGCGGGCACGTCGGAACCAATCCACCATTGACCGGACATTCCGCGACAGCGAATGGACCATCGTGCGTGGTGCGAGACGCCGTCGATGCAGGAGGGAAATGCCGGCGATACAGGCGCGAACATGGACACCCTAGCAACACCACAGATTCACGAGAAGTCCAACACCACAGCAACCAGTCTCAGTGCATGGAGGAACGGTCATGGGTCGGATCCCGACTGCAGAAAATGCCAGACCTCTCTCTTGCCTGTCTCCAGACTCTCAGTTCGAAGCGCTGCGACGCACGGAAAGAGTTCTTTCACCCAGTGGCAATCAGAAGGGTCTGCCCACCACGGACTGGATAGCCTCACGAGGCTAGGACTTGAGGCGAAACCTATCAAAACATCAGTGATACTCTGACATACTATGACCTATGGCCTATGACAGCCTAGCGCCTTTTTGAGGCTCAACCTCCCTAGTTGCTTTAAGTGAACATCTCCAAAGAAACTCTTCTGAATGATCACATCTAAACGGGGCCCGTTTGCAGATGTCCAGTCCAGCTGGGGGGTGCTCAGAGAAGATCCGAGTTGCTGCTGAGCTTGCTGGTCCAGAAAGCGCCAGCAAGCTGGCATTTGGAGGTGTCAAAAAAAGAAACTGCCCAAAAACCCTTTCCAAAGAGCCTGGTTACTCAACTTTCTGGCCATGGGCCCATGAGCCCATGGGCCTTGCCATCCATATCCATTGAACAATTGGGTCATTAGAGAGGGGTCACTACTTCCCCCAGCTTGCTTGCATGTCTCTCCTCAGGAGTAGCTCTTCGGACGTAGCTCTTCGGACGAACGACGGAGCGGACCCGACGGGTCCCGACGGGTCCAGTCTGAGGACCGACCGCAAGGGGGTGGCCTATCCGAATGCCAGTCACAGTGGATGAATGGTGATTTGCTTCTTTGACTGTTGTACCGAGTTGTACCGGTAAGGTCGGACAGACCCAAGTGTCATCAGGTGCATCCAGCTAGATCCTCTTTCTTTTTGGGGCTCGAACGTTCGTGTAGTGCTAGTCTACTCTGCACGAGTCCAACGAACCCCAGAATCCACCCATCACCCATCAGAAACATGAAACATCCTGAAACCCCACACACATCTCGTGTTCCACGCGGTTCCTCAGCCAAAACGCCCCGGGCGACAACGTTTGTTCCCCCCCCCTCGCGCCGACGTCTGCAGCCATGTCCTTGGGTGGATAATGATGCACCTCGGCCAGCGCGTCCGGCGGCCCAAAAAACGTGGCACGGTCAGGACATTGCATTGAGGGGAGAGGGGGAGGGGGGGTTTTGCACCCAAATCTGGAACACAGCAAGAACATGCAAGATTTTTTTGAAGCACCGACAAAAATATGGAGGACCTGGGAAAATGGCAGGGAACCGGTCGCCAATATGTCAAGGGATCCTCCATGTCCTCCAATCCGGTTGTCCGCCCAGGATGGGATAGAAGAAATTTAGGCCTCAAGTTCAGGCATCAGCATCGATCAGCCTTCAGGGAATAGGGAGAGGAAACCATTCCGCACAGCGCAGATTGAGGACAAAACAGTTAAAAAAATTACTTTACTTCGAGTGATCCCCACCATGACATTTCAATGGCAAAATTTCTGGCACGCGACTTCCATATGTTTTTTCTGGCATATCTTCTGACCTTCTTTCATCTGACATTATTTCTGACATTTTTCCAGCACATCTTCTGACATTCCACGGCCGCCTGCCCAGCAACCAACATGGAACACCTACTCACATCCCCCATCCGACACGGCCTACACACATCCTTCCAAGCCCCAGGTCCAGCCATCGCCGCCACCACCCACTGGCAGCTCCTGGCCATACAACATAAGGGTGAGGTTGTTGATGGGATTGCTGAGTGCGACTGGCATGGGACATTGGGCCGTAATTATACTGAGGTGAGATGACTTAGGCTAATTGGGTCGAAGTGACATACAACTTTCCCAGGGCAAGTCCTAAGTCATGTACAAATGTAAACTCTGCAATATCATTGGCACACACTCATGACATAGGGCTTGTTGACCTGGTCCTCAGGATTTTTTTAGAGGATCTTTGGTGACAACCTGTGGCATCTCTGATTTTGATGCTTTTCAAAGCTTTTGCTTCATGACATACATACTTGTGGGGGGTAGGCTAAACCTTCATGACTTAGCCGCAAAAATTTGGAGGCACTTTTCACAAGTCCTTTGTCATTTCAGCTGAGTATAAATGTGAGCTGGTGTGTACTGCGCAGGCTGCTGATGAGGATAGTACTGCCAATGAACACTGCCATCCGGGAGCTGGCGGTTGAGGTCCGGCGGGAACACTGCCGTGCGGAGCTGGCGGTCGAGGTCCGGCGGGGAACACTGCGGCACAATGCGTGTAGTACAGAGTTCCAAGTTTCGTACATGCTTCACAGACCCGCCCTTAACAGACTATTGCGGAATTAGCGTTGCAGGAAGCCAGCGTTGTCTCCTTCACCCCTGGTGTAGGAGACGGCAAGATCTCAGACTCAAGGCTCAGAATCAGAAGGCGTTGGCCACGTCCTCAGCGGCGGCCTCAGCTGCTTCATAGAGGCCATGGGCTTCAGATTCAGATGCACCATTGCCCCCAGGAGCCGCGGCGTGGCCGACACCAAGCCTCATTCATCATACAGGACAAAAACAGATGAAGCCCTGAAAAAATAAGAACACACAAGTCATTTCAATCACACATCGCCAAGGGACGGTTGGATGACCTGGTTGGAGGTCTCACAGCGATACGGGCAGGCATCCAAGCCAACACACGCCACTTCCACGCAGGCCCCATGAAACCGATGGCCACACCACAAGGCCGAAGCATCGCTGACCAGCGAATCCTGGCAGATGACGCAAATCTCCACATCATCATCATCATCATCATCATCAGGACGAGCTCTGCCCGAATCACCGCCAAGCTCTGCGGGCGCAACAGGCTCTGCCACCACCAACGCCGCTGCCTCAGCGCCAACCGGCAGAGCCTGGCACCAGCGAACGATTAGCCGCCAGATCAGTCAAGGCTGCCATTTCTGTGTCCGTAGGTAAAGGGCTGTTGGCCATGATATCCTCGGCTGAAGCGTAATCTGCTCCAAGGGCACGGCACAAGGCTGGAACACTTCCGGAACCACTGGCAGCCGCTTGCAGCGGCAAAGCCAACTAAGGCCGATCCCGCTTCCCAAGCCCACGAAGTAGACCAGGAGCAAGAGAGCCTCAAATTCGTCCATCGCAAAAGTGGACCAGCCCCCCTTGACCATCTTGAGCCAAAATGGAAGTCAATGAACATCTACATCAGTTTGGTTTTCCACCAGACCTCAACCGTTTCTCTTTCCTTCGAAAATTCTTTTCTCCACACAAACGGCGGGCACCAGCACCTGCGATCAAGCACAGATACATCACTCGTCCGTAGCCTGCGGACACCGAAGAGAAACCCAGGTTACCCATGACATGACATGCTCCCCGGTTAACCATGGTTGGCAGAACCCACCCATGGACAATAACGAGAACACAAGAGTTGAGTTACGGCAGCGTGGGTAACACCGTCACTAAGACCGCACAAAGGGGAGACAGAGCGGCTCAGTTGACACCGGGTGGTGGTGTTTTTAAAGTGGGTGGTTGTCTAGAAGTCGATGATCTCTCTGCTGCTGATGGTGACGCCTCCTCAACACCCGAACAGGTTTTCCACTCTCAAGGATCCGCATGCCCCTGGCTGCAGGCTGAAGTGGTTTTCTTCAGCGAAGGAGGCGCCCTCCCAACTCTCAGAGCCCCCGGACAATGTCTTTTGATGGCTTCCCTCCTGAAGACGTCGCATGTCGCGACGTCGCCGGTTCTGCCGGCGAACGCGGGAAGAGTCCGAACGAGCCAAGGACGAAAGGACATGTCGAAAGGACATAGATGAATCCTCGTGCAAAGACCAATCCTGGACAACCCATCTCCAACTCACTTCCACTTCTTTTCCTTCACTGTCACAAGCGTGATCTCAGAACCGTGTCCAAAACCTCGAAAAGAAAACAAACCTGTGATATGCTCAGGGAAATGCCCACCTTGAAACACCTCAGTTATATGTCAGTTCCAATCAGAAGTGTTTCCACAAGCACTTGTTGCGAAGAGGGTCGGACCTTGCCATATAGGGATGGGTCTGGAGCCCGACCAGTCTACCATGTAGCCGCTTTCACGACTGGTCCACACACCAAGAAAAAGAAAAACGTCAGTCCACATCCTTTTTACTTTGCCACATTCTCGAAGAAAAGAAATCATCAACAGCATTGCTCATGATCTTGTGATGCTTCATTGTGTACGCTCCACGTTCTTGACTGAGTTGACAATGACCTAGATTCCTTCAGCTAGTAACAAGGGCATCGCTACTAGGAACAAGTGCATCGCTACTAGTAGCAAGAAGCTACTAGTAACACCTTGGAAGTCCCGGCACCCATCTCGAGCTTCGAAAAACACACCAGGAACGACGGTCACCACCCCGGTGTCGTTGCAGGACTTCGTGGGTTGGGGAGGGGGGAGTAAAACAAATGGTGCTCACCTGTTGGTTGGGTCTGACAGGTCACAGCCGGCTCGGACGGCTCCTGCCCCAGCACCTCCCATGCTGGAAGGATTGTGGTTCACGCCTTGGGGCGGCACACACGGGCGGCCGAACCCACGCCGGGTCACAGCGCGGAACAGCGGACTGACATGGAACGAGGCATCGGAGCATTCGGAGTGTCGGACGTGTCGGACTGGTCTGACATGGTCGCTGGTTTGAGTATCTTTGGCAGGCTTGGGATCCTATTTGACGTGGTTTCTCCAACGGATTGCGTCTTCTTTGCTGCTTGTCCCCCCTACAATCAGCACTGTGTGGCAGCTTTCGTTAGCCTTCGTTGGCAGGTCTTTCCATCCCTATGAATCCAAACGCGAGCGCGTTTGGACTGTCCATGAGTCAGCAAGCCAGTCAGTCACAGCACCAGACACAGCACCACCTCTCAAAGCCGCTCGGACGATTCAATTGTGACACACCAAAAGCAAGCCAATTTGGTTTTCAAGAAAGGCCGCTGGTTCAATTAATGAAAACACACAACCACTTTATACCGTGTTTGTCGTACTTGCAAAAAAAAGACCTTCACGCAGCGTGCATGAAAAACGCGCCGTGCCTGCCGGTGCACCCAGACTGTCCCATCGACTGGATTGTCAGGGCATTGTAGGCTGAAAGGTCAAAACCTTTAAATATTAACGCCCCCGTTGTTGGAATTGTTGGTCACCCTCAACTCTTATCTAGCAAAGTCTTCTCACTGTGCAGGCTGTTGCGACTCAAACAACAAACCTTTCGCTGCCTAGCTCCAGTTTCAAGGGGTACATCAATGGGTGAAAGCAAAAAATGTTGGGGCCTACCCACAGTAGTCAACCATGCAAGTTTGGAGCCACGGCCATGATTTTGAAGCCACGGCCATTTTCACTGGGAGTCCCAGTAGAAATTCCCCTTGTGGTGTCCCTTTAGTCAACACACCGCGGAATACGCACACCGTGTCAAGAGACGTCAGCTCCAACTCGGTCCGAAAAACAGGTGCTCGGGAAGCGGCTGTAACCTTTGCCATAGCCATCATAGTCCTTAGCAGCTTAGCAAAATGGCCAGGGCCAAACACAACGGCCCGAATACTCCATGTATGCCTACATTGACCCTGAAACCACCCCAATGTAGGTATATAGGCCAGGAGCTACATTTGTAGCGTCCTTGCTCCGTTCGTAATCCAGGTTACATCCGTTAGTAATGCCAGGCTACCCTTGTTACTAGTAGCGAAATACATATATAGAACTATACTGCCCTTTGTTACTAGTAGCTGGAGTCTCTGGGTGATGATTTTCTTCGGCGCTGACGTCAGCTACTCTGAACTACTTGGGAGTTTGCCAGCTCAGCTGAGTAGCTATGCATCCCACACTGTTAACCCTTAGTGCCTTGAGTGCCAAATCCCCTGAGGAAAACCCTGATTCATCAGATCCCCAGACCGGTCCTGTTAGGCAAACCACCCAACCACCCCTGCTCATCAGCTGGTCGAACCAGCTGCTGGTCGAACCTCCACTTTCGACCTTCGACGTTCCTCCCCGAGACCTTCTGAACACTCCAAACTCCAGCCCAGGAATGTTAAGCCGTAAAAAAGAACATGAACATCCGATAGGATCACTCCCAGTGGCCCAGTCTGCTGCTGCTTCCCCCTTCTTGCCGCCTTTGCGACGATGCTTGCCTCCCAGCGCCGTTACGGCCGCGCGTTACGTCCACCCCACAGCCCCACCCGGGCGCGAGGACTCGGGGGGTGCGAGTGCCACCAGCGGTGTAGAATGCACGGATTCGACTCATCGAATTCACTGGTTCCCACGGAGTTCTTCGTGCTTTTGAAGGCGCTTTCAAGATGCGTTCTTCGTCTAGAGTGAAACATGTACTCAACTTTCGGCCGCCCTCAGAAAACCAGATGCCCGCCGACCTTTTGGGGGTTCCTGATGGGCCCAGCGGTCAGAAACCCTCCTTTCCTCCCCGAGACCTGGTTGGAAACCACTGGTGACCGGTGTGTGGAACCGACCAGCTCCTTTTTTTAGTAGGCTCAGTCACCTGCTCAGTCACCTGCTCAGTCTCAAGTTCTTAAAGGGTCGGTTCGTTCCTACCCTTGTGCAGCAGCATTTTTTGGGGCTGACACTTCTTAGATTCGCTGACCCAACGTGCTGATACTTCTCCAGTGTCCCGACCCAGAAAGTAAACCTTTCGTTGGTACGAACATCCAGGAGCTATATCAAATGCTGTGGGTCAAACACCTTAAAAAGACCTTCAGACTTCCACTTCCAAGGCCGGATCGAAAACAACCTTGTTTTACTAAGGTCAACCTTTGTTCTAATGGTGTTTGAAGGATTGATGTTTGAAGGGTTTGTATACATGCGATAGAATATACAATATATACTCTAAGACTTTAAGGGGGGCACAAAAACTCCAAAATCGTTGAAAGTGTTTTGGTCCGGTTTAAGAGTCAAAGTCAAAGGGTCATTGTCTACCAGCACCTTCCTGGCCAGGTGGTGACCCGACTTGGAAGCAGTGGTTAACCTGGACGCCGAACTCACTTGTTACCCAGTTCAACAGCAGATTTGGAGGCCAAGCCACGGTATAGTTCCAAGCCACGGTTTTAGAGGCCCCAAACCGTCCCACCGGCGGACAGTTGGACACAGTTCTCCCTCCCACCCGAACGCCGTGTCATGCCGCCACCCGGGGACCTCCTCCTTTGCCATAACCGTCTGCCATCTTGTGCCTCAGTGGAGCTGAGTCCGTAAGAATCTCATGATCCCCACCTGGGTGCTGCTTGAGGTGAAGGATCTTTCTTTCTCGGAAATCGTCAAGTGACCTGCCTTTGAAGGAAAGAGCTTTTGACCACGTTAGAACGAAACAGGCTAGCTCTCGGGAGAAGCAGGTCACGTTCCTTCCGTGTCTGCAAACAACAGGCTCAAAACGAAACAGTTGCTTCCTTGAGGCTGCTGAAACGGACTGAGACACCAAGAATCAAAACACAGCTTTGGGACAATCTGATATCAAATGAATCACTAAGGAATACTAAGGACCAGCATTCCACCAGATCGTCCATTCATCTTAGTGCAATTGGCCCACGGCCGAAGCTTGGTTCTTCGCCGCATGTTCATGGCCCTCCCTGCAGTGTCCTCTTCCCCCGACTCCGATGTTCTCGGGCATCCGGCTCGGCACCTGGGCCCTAAGAACCACCACCCCGAACAAAGGGCCAAACAGGAACCCCCCCCCTCCCTGATCGCCATCCCAAAACCGGAAACAGCGGAACGGGTCGGAACGGGTCCGGAGATCCTGGAGGGCACCGCCTCCATGCCACACCGCGTGCAACGCCCCGAAGGCGACGCCACAAAGGCGACCGACTGGTGACACACAGGCCGTACGGGCTCCAGGTTCTCGACGCTCTTCGCTGCGTTTCGGCTGCGTTTCGACCGACTGCTCTCCGAGGCGCCGACGAACTGGTGACACACCCGGTGACACGCCGAAACCGATCCTCAATCCCGGTGACACGCCTGGGCCGAGGGTTTGGGAAGCTTGGACACGGTAAGGGGGTTCAAGAGGTTGAGACTTTAAGGGGTCCAAGGACCGGGTGTGATTTTGGAGGTGATGGGAGGCGACGCTCTCAGCTCTGAATCGCTCCGCCCAAAATGGTGGTCTTTGGACTTCCAAAAAGGCTCTGCAGGTTCTTCG